GGCGGTGGCGGCGGTGGCAGCGGGGGGGACGGCCGCTAGATGGCCCGGAGCGGTGCCGTCCCCGCCTGGGAGGCTGCTTGTTTACTCCGGAGGCCGGAACGAGGAAGCAGGGAGCCCGGCTGGATCCTTTCCTGCACCCGGAGCCAAAGCGCAGCTGGGAGGATCCGAGGCAGGGTGGGGTTTGCTGGGTGGCTTTTGAAGGCTGTTTCTCTCTGTCCCGTCTTGCGCGGGATGGACTTGTTTGCGCACGCAGAGTTGCCCCAAATAACTCCCGAGCCGGGACCATTTTCTCCCCAGGGAAGGGGAACGTGTTGAGCCCTCCGTGCCGGGACGCTGCTGTGGGGCCTCCTCCCTCCTCCTGGTCACACCACGAGTTGTTGTCGGGCTCCCATGGTCCTATCCCCATCCCGCCGCCCTGCAGACGTACCGAGCCGGTCCCAAAACTCAGTTAAACAACTAATGGACAGAACACACGTATAGGGACGACCATCTGCTTCGCAACTTGGCACCTGAGGACCGGTTATTTTGTACGTGATCTGGGAGCTCCTTGTTTTCCACGGTTCCTCCGCAGCTGGTGGGCACACACCCCGCGTCCAGCTGGCTCCGGATACAGCCCTGCTGCTCAATCCACACCCCAGAGCAGTGAGATATTTAGGTGACTCCCAGCCGAGGCTTCTGGAAAAGAAATCTTTCCGGGCGTGCGCCTTTGCTGGGACTGCGTTTTGTTGTGGCAGTTGTGTGTGATTTACCACGTTTGCCTCTCTGGTCCCACTTTCAATTCCCTTCTTATGAGAGAAGCGAGGAGAAGGCCCTGCTTCCTCCGCCTGTTCTTTCTCTGTGTTCTGCTAGTGTTAAAAGCATTTGTGGAACAAACTGAAACTTCAGGGTATGTGGCTAAATGCCCTTTCCACTCCTGGGTTTTAGGGATGGGTGCTTTGGAGAAAATCCATTTTTGTGCCTGCATATGGATAACGCTGTCAGAAGAGGTCGAGTAACTACCACACTCTCCAGAACTGATAGAAATCCTTGGATGCCAAAAAATAGTATAAATATGTCTTCCTGTCCTCAGCCTAATGTTTTGTTTCCCTGCCAGGATGGTGACAAGTTCTGGAGGATGCCCGAGTGTTACATTCGTGGCAGCACCATCAAGTACCTGCGAATCCCCGATGAAATCATCGACATGGTGAAAGAAGAGGTGGTGTCGAAGGGCCGCGGCCGCGGCGGGATGCAGCAGCAGAAGCAGCAGAAGGGCCGCGGCGTCGGAGGGGCTGGACGAGGTAACGATCCTGCCCTCTCCTCCCGCGGGATGAGGTGCCGTGGGGGGGACCTGCATTTAAAAGTGCGAGAAGCGGTTGCTGCTTCCCGACTCGGCCGGGGAGCCCCATCCGCCTCCGTGCGCGATGTCGCTGCGCGAGCGCGGAGCCAAGGAACACAAAGGAGGCGACGAGGGGAGGGCCCTGCCCCGCTCCGCGCTCGGCTCCTTCCCTCCCTTCTGGCTCCGTGCGGAATATGGGCTCCAGTTTGTGTAGCTGAGCAGGCCTGGGGCACAAGCAAATGGCTGTTTTCTTCGAAAATCCACGGGGCCCTGGTGGTCACAGTGGTGGAAAACATCATCTTCCCTGATAGCTGTGCTTCTGATCTTCTGACTTGCCTTTTTTTCTATATATTTTTTAAATATATTCGAGGATTTATGTTCTTCCTGCTCTACACAAATAATTCATGTCTCTGATACGAGGGGAGGTAACCACTTGTGAAGAAATAGGTCACAAAAACAACCCTTCCTTCCCCTG